AAAATCTTCGACCCGATTGGGTTTGCAACTGCTTTCTTGATTCAGGCAAAGATAGGCATGCAGCACTTATGGCAGAAAGGTGTTGACTGAGATGAAGAGTTACATGCTTCAGCTCAGAGTTGGTGGGTAAAGTTATTTGAAGAAATGAAGAAGTTAAATACGACAAGTTTCCACAGAACTCCACCAAACACAATTCAAGATCCAGTGCTGTGTGTATTTGCGGATGCTTCCGAGGAAGCTTTTGGAGCTTGTGCGTACATTCGGTGGAAAACCAGTGATGAGAGGTTTGATGTGAGATTTGTGGCGGCAAAATCACGAGTAGCCCACTTAAAAAACTAACCATTCCTAGGCTTGAATTGCAAGCAGCGTTGACGGCCACACGGCTATACAAGACGATAATGGAGGAAACCAGAATTAGAGTCGGGAAGGCAATCTTTCTAACTGACAGCATGATCGTGTTAGCTTGGGTACGGAGCCAAGCCAGAGGCTTCAAATCATTTGTATCAAATCGTGTTGGAGAAATTCAAAGTGTATCCGACCCATCGCAATGGAGATACATTCCAGGCAAGGAGATGGCAACACGGCCCAGAGTTCTTGTACTTACCCGAGAAAGATTGGCCTCAAGAAGAAGTAGAAAAGGAGCAGAAACTGGACAAAGTATTTTCCTGACGCATACTTGTCCAGACATCATTGATTCCAGTAGAATTTCGTCATGGAATAAGTTAATCAAAGTGACGGCGTACGCACATCGTTTCATCAGGAAGATGCATTGTAGACGAAGTGATGAAATGGTAATCAAGGATAGTTCGCTGTCACCGCAAGAGTGGGATGAAGCAGAGAATTATTGGATTCTCAAAGCACAGCAATCTTTGCACGAACGAGTAAAGAAAGGAGAATTCAGAACGCCGAGTCCATTCGAGAAAGAGGGTATTATCTACGTTGGAGGTAAAGCTAGTGATGCAGATAACTTGATTGCATATGACAGTAGGCACCCAGTACTTCTACCCAAGGAACACTACATTTCCTATCTCATAACTCGTTATATGCATGAGGAGGGTCATGGCGGGGTGCAAAAAAGGTAATGGATCATCGGAGTGGCTAAGTTGACCAAAACTATCAAGTTTCGGTGTGTGACTGAGAACCAGTTAATGGCTGATTTGCCAGCTGAGCGTTTAGCACCGTTCACACCACCATTTCTTTACCCAGCCTGTGATTACTTTGGGCCATACTCAGTTAAAGTTGGTCGCAACAAGGTAGCGAAGCATTATGGCATCATATTTACTTGTTTAAATACTAGAGCGGTACACCTGAAGGTTGCGGTTGATTGTTCTTCAATGGAATTTGTTCAAGTGCTACGCCTATTCTTTGCGATCAGAGGGCAACCGATTATCATCTTAAGTGACAATGGCACCCAATTTGTGGGTGCAGAGAAGGAACTGAAAAAAATGGTCAAGGGATGGAGTGAAGTGGAACTCAAAGAATTTTGTGCGGAACGACGGGTGCAGTGGAAATTCACCACACCATTGGCGCCTCACCGGAATGGGTGCGCAGAGGCGCTCGTTAAGAGTTGCAAAATTGCATTAAAAAAGGCTATAGGAGAGCAGACTTTGACACCATTTGAGTTGCAGACTTCCTTCATGGAAGTGAGTAATCTGGTGAACCAACGACCAATAGGAAGGATACCCAACGATCCTGATGATGGGAGCTTTCTGTGCCCAAATGACATTTTATTGGGTCGAGCTTTGAGCAGAACGCCGCATGGACCCTTCCGACAGACAAAAAATCCAAAACACAGTTGAATTTGTGCAACACATCGTTGACAGTTTCTGGAGATGCTGGACTCGAGATGTATTTCCCTTGTTGGTACCACGGAAAAAATGGAATACCGACCGGAGAAACGTGAGAGTGGATGATGTAGTTATAGTTGTTGACCCAATGCAATTAGGGGAATGTGGACTCTAGGAAGAATTAAGGAAGTGTATCCTGGTAATGATGGAAAAATCAGAAATGTGCAGGTCAAAACTGTACATGGACAATATTGTAGACCAATAACTAAATTATTGTTATCTACCCAGTTGAAGGTTATGAACAATAGATATACTTCCACTAGTTTTAACGTGAACGTTCAATAATTAAAGTAGATTAAGTAATTTCTCCATTGAGAGGGGGGAGGATGTTTTATTAAGAAACGATTGTCAGTAGCGCGCATGCGTGGTGAATGTGCATATTTGGAAGGAGATAGCGGCTGCAGGGTCAGTCGAAGTAGACCGAGTACGAAGAATCATGGTGACG